GGCTGGGGGGTGGAGGGGCAAAGTAACAGGTTAAGGGTAAAGAAGGATGCTGAAAATGCTGAAGAAAAGTGCGACAAAAAGGATTTTCAGACTGAAGAAACAAAGAGACCCGAAGAGAATTACTTGCTCCATCTACCAAGATAAAACTGAGCAGCAACTTGACAAGAGGTAACAGGCATTAGGAGGGCTTTTTAATTGATTGGAAAGACATAGCAAGAACCAAAGGCAGGAGCAAGATGAATTCAAAGAAGAAATAAGGTGCAACCCGGGGGAAGGGGGAACCCCATGAAGCAAGAATCCCGAATCAAGGAAGCAGGAAATGTTGGGATACCATAACTTGCTGTCAGTAGATCAAGTTACGGGGATTAATACACGCGTAACTAAGCAACACATTAAGGGTCTTCTGTATACTATATATTTATACATACATGAAGTACAAAAGACATAAAAGTAATGCTAAATAAAGCAACTTAATGGATTGTTGCCTGTCAGCTCTATCTGAAGATGTTGGTAGGCATCGGACACTAAACACTGTTCAAATTAGGAGGCAAATCCAAGGCAGGAAAGATTTTTCTAATGCATTTAGATAAAGAGTGTGCTCATGTAGAGCCAGCAAACTTAGCAGATAAAAAGATTGCTGTGATTTTGTAAAGTCAGTCAAGGTGTGATAGGTCTTTGCTTTGCAAAGCGACATATGGAAGGTACTGCGCTGAGCCATCCATACTGGCATCACGAAAGACAGGTTACCAGGGTTAGGAACAACAAATGCTGTGACGATATGGAGAACCTGCAATCTGTGCCATACTAGCAGATTGCAAATGAAATTGCAAAAGGCTCCACCAACTTAAGTCAGTTGTGAGTAATGAGCTTGTGAGTTTGCTGCTTGTACACATACCCCTAACAGTGCTTTAGTCCTTCATAGAGGATTTCACTGGATTTCAATTCCAAGAGTGAGTCACTGACGGGAAAAGAGGGGGAAAGGTATGAGAACTTTTCTCTCTGAAAGAATGGAGTTGGAAACTGCCCTCGAAAAAAAGGGATGAATGCATGCTCACTACTAGATTTCTTCTTGGCTTAAGATGCAAACTATTAAATCTTCAGAATAAACTGAGCAAGTATTCGAACAACAAATGAGGCAGATTATTCTGGTAAGGAAAGAATAAACTCCTCTTGTATGTGTGATTTGTAATGTCTATTATGGTCAATGTTTGAAAAAAAATCGTATATCGTGGGCAATTCATAGAAGAAGTCTTTGTCATTCTTCCAAGCTCAAAGTACATCTATCATCTGGTTTCTTTCTCAGGGAGATCAAATGGTGAGTAAGTGATTTAGACCACAGCAGTCTGTAGAAAACACCAAGCATTTTACGTCCCTCACTTGTCACCCATCCCCACAGTGAACACAGATGCTATCACTACTGAGTAAAGCCCGTATTTACAAAGACATATAAAAATAAATATTTTACTTTATGCAGACTTGCACAGTAACACAAAAAAGGGCACTTCCCTACAACAGAACCCAACTGAGACCCCCAGTTTCTCTGCCACACAGAGCCAAGCTTCAGCGGGCACATCCCAAAGTCACGCGGACTCGGTAATGAAGCAGGACAGTGAGCCTCGGGGACCGCAGGCCCTGGCTAGCAGATGTCACTCGAAAGAGGAGACCTGAGGCGGCAGCAATCTTCTCTCTTACAGTAGCTAAGGGTTAAGCATATGTTGTTAAACAGGCACTGACTTGCAAAGCTTCAAAACTAAAACTAGTCTTCTGATGTAAGTTAGAGGAGCGCAGGTGAAGTGGCAGCAAAAGCGCACGTGCCGGCTGCTGGTGTGCAGGCACAGTGACACGCTGGAAACAGATACAGGGAGGCTGTGACTCACACCACAACCTGGTGCAGCACAGCAGACAATACAGAACGGCAGCCTCCCAGACAGGACAAAGGTATGGACAGAAAAGCAAAGTCAACGTCCAGTGGCCACCACATTTAAAATAATTTATCTATTACTGAGTTTGCATTTCGGGCTTAGCTCTTGAAAATGCTCTGTAGCAGAAGTGTATTTGCCTCACACGCTGGTATGCATGCCGTTAGTTCTGCATGCACTCTGCACGCATTCACTTACTTGCAGTTTTGCTATATCCTAATCGCCACCCATTGAATACTCCCAACTTGGCTTTAGCCTTATAATGACACTTTAAAAATAGTTTTACACACATATATACACATACACATATATGCATACACATACACACGCACATTCGCTCACTCCACAGGACAGAAATAATCCTGCAGAGGACTCTGAATGGCATTTGATTGCCTGAGGGTAAGCCCACACAGCTATATGAGAAGACTGCTGTTATCTGAAACACCTACATGTGGCTGGCAAATATGACACAGGACTTGCAGTCCTTTCTGCCACAGTAGATGTGGTAAAACTCCCCAGCAAGGAACCTAAGTGGCACTGGAAGTCTATGCTTAAGGGTGCGGATTTCACATTTCACATGCATGAGACTGACATGCCTAAAAACAGCCACTGAAACAGGGTCTGAAAGCTCTCTGATTCACTCTTACTTTCCACAGTCCATGTAACAAGAAATGGTTCCATGGAAAAAGCAAGAAGAAATGATTTAAAACCTTGTGCATGATCATAAAGGAGACAACACCAAAATGCACGTAGCAAGACAGCCAATAAAGCATTAGTGGATCTAATGGGTTAAAACTGGCAAGTGAGAAAACTGAAGCAATATGCAAAAGACAGCTATTAAAACTGAATTTGATAATGGGCAATCTGCCTTTGTGATTTCTCTAAGATCTTAGATACTTAGGTATACCACAGAAGTCACCCATAATCTGTATCTACGCTATCAGAAAATATTCCTTTAACCACTACTTTAAAGTAAAATGTAAAATAAACTTCCCTATAGCAAAGAAGACAGCTCTGATGGATTTTGTGCATCACCACTGTCAAGGCAATATTGTTAAATTGTCAAACTTGGAAGTAATCATACTGAGGCTGTTCTAGATTTTAACCTAAGGAACAACAGTAAGATAAGCCTTTCCTAAAGGAAATATATCACAGGCTTATTGTGCCTTTAAAGGGCCAAAAAAGAATGGGAAAGTAACTTGACAATCTATTAGGTCAGTAAAATTCTTTAGTCTTACAAAGCAAGATTTCTCAAATGCTTGAAGGAAAAAATAACTGGTTAGGAAGTATAGCCCTTTCCTAGGATGCCATTTTGTTTGGACCACAGCTAATATATTGCTTCTTCCAGAATGTACCAGTGCCACGCTTCCCCAACCCTCCAAAGACAATGCACAATTTTGAATGCCTCTGAAAAAAAGTAATTCAACATAGTTTCTCTAGTAATCTTTCCAAAAGGGCTGCTTCATTACAGCTGGCACTGTATTACATTGGCTTCCCAATATTCCGATCCTTGTTAAAAATTACAGAATTTTCAAATTAGTAGAGAGGTGCTAACCTAGATACTGCAAGTTGTTCTTATTTTGTTATTTTTAAAAAACGTAAAAAATAAATTCCAATTTCATACCAGTAATAAAATACAGCATCTGGATGGCAGAACTGGTACACTTACACATTGCGCAGAGCATAATGGAAGAACGTATTTCCACAAAATATTTCAGAACTATGCAGGTTTGGGCATTTGCTCTGTTATTATCACACAGCTCTGCACATCCTGGGAATGTTAATGAAGAAGGAAAGTAGTTAGAAAAAAGGGGGGAAAAATCCCACAAAAATGTTACAATGTTTCAGAAAAGTTCTGTTTGTTTCTTTGTTTGTTTGTTTTAAAAAGACCAAAAAATAACAAGTGGTCATTCCCCTCCCTCCATGCATCATGAAAATAACATTCCCAACCTCTCTCCCTTCAGCAGTGGCAAGACACTGGGGATCCAGGACAGGAGAGAGCAGATGAATCAGGACCATGGAGTTGAGATACTAGTTAATGAAAATGGGAGAGACAGGACTGTGGTCCAAATTTAGAGTGGCACAGCAGAAAGGCAGAGAGGTGTCCTTTAGAATCTTAGTTTAACGAGCTAAATGGCCAACATGCGTGGCTTGGAAAACTGTAACACTGCCAGCAGTGGAACTCAGGCAAACTAACTGTGGGAATCCCGTGTTCTGCAGAACTTTAACATATGCATTTATACGCTATAATTAAGGAAACGAGACTGCTTTTCACCTTTATATCTGCCCCACACTCCCTTAATCCCACATCAGAACAATGTGTGAAGGATCACCGTCACTTGCATGGCAATGCCTCAGTTCACCCAGGAGGCTCTCCCCAGAAGCAGCTGCAGAGAACCTAATGAGTTCTCTGCTCCTAATGGTGCTGCCTTAGCACAGGAGGCAAGTTTCTAGGACACGGAGGGGCCCACAGGACTGTGCTTACGCATCTGGGGCCTCTGGAGGCTAAGAGTAACTGCAGCTTAGAGCCATGTATCCAGGCAGCCCTGCGTTAAAAGGGGTCAAAACAGCCTCCAGATACACAGACCCTTATTCAGAAGTTATCCCAAGGAGCAGGGAAAGTGGTTTTATCTTGTCCCTTCTCCATGGGAAGTTTGAGGAGAGGTATGAGAGGTAAAAATATCAAAAACAATACAGAAGGATGGTGGATTTTGTGATTTCTTGCAAAAATGCACATATTTTGCATTCAATAGGGAACAACTAGATCTGCAGTGCCCTTAGATACGTAGCTAAGATGACAGCCGGACTGAAAGCGGGGTTATAAATAACATTAGTTATGGAGAAGGAAGTACCTCAATAAAAAGAGAGGCATGGCTTTGTGGTTCAGACACGGGGTAGGCTGTACTTCTCAGTTCAGTTCTTGCATTTGCCGTGGACTCTTGGTGTGACATATCATGGTGCATCAGTTATCCAGGGTGACTCACTGTACTTCCTTTTATCTTCGTTTAATCAGACTATAATCTCTTTGATCAGGCACGCTCTTCCTACGGACGCATGGAAACAGTGTGCCAGTTTCAATACCTTCCCAGTTTCAGCTGGCTTCTCAGCACTAATAAAAGCCCCATCTTTATCAATAGGACCTTTGTTGACAGTTTCAGCAAGGAAGGGGCAAGATTGAATGGGCCATAAAGACAAAACTCTCCTTTCCACACAGTAGCCTCTCCGCTCACTGCCGCCGAAAAGCCGGCAGAGCTTCTGCCTGTACCAAACACATGCTGCGAGGCACCAGGAGGTCCCCACGCTTCGTAAAAGGCAGGCTGGCTTCTTTGCCCATTATCAGTTTCACCTTTTAAGCAAAACGGCAAATACTTTAACAAGTTTACCTTGTCATTGCCTGCACCTTCCTTCGGTTTATCTCATAAAAAAAAACCCAAACAACAAAATAAAGACAATCTATGCCCTGCCTCCCACGAACAGCGGCCTGATACCTAAGACTCCGGGGTCCAGCGCCCACCGCCGCC